TTATATAGTAATAATATTACTAAAATTAATATTTAATATTTTATAAAGAAATTAACAATTATTTTTAATTTCGCAGGAAAATTTGCCTGCTAGACAATCTAAGGGATAATAAGAAATTTCTTTCATAACATTAGAAGTTATCTGAATATAAAACAAAAATTAAGCAAGTTATCTCTTTCTTAGGCTAAGATAAGACAGATTTATGGAGCATTTTTTCCTAAAATATATAACTGTACTTGTTAAAGTGTAGTAAAATATACTTATATTATATATATTTCCTAAAATTGTTGTTTAAATAAAATTGAAACATTGTGATAAATAATTTAGAATTTGCTAAATTTTGGTATAAATGCATAATACAAAGCAGGATTCAATAAATAAATGTACAGAAACATATGTTAGCCAATAGTTCACAAAAACTGTGATCGGATACTTTCTTCAGAATATAATCTCCGCTGTTAAGTTATTGAACAGGAAATGTGTCGGTCCGGTCGAAAACTGATCAATAAAATTTCAGTCAAATACAAGTCCGGATAGTTGTCAATAAATATTCTATTTTTAATTTCACTTAATTGTAACACATTGATTTTTGATCATTTAAACCAAAAGCCAATTTGATATTGTAGTTTATTATATCAAAGTTCATAAATGAAATAGTAAATTCAATGAAAAATGAATATAACTAGGTCTCAGATGATCTTTGCTTTTTCCGAGGGTTCTCCTAAAAAAAAGAAAAAATCAGTTTTTTCTGATAATTTGTTTCTTTTAGTGACTTTACGGGTAATATTTCAAAATTGGAAACATCCGTAAAGAAGCTAGAATGCTTTTTACATCTAAGTAATGCACGTTCTTTTTTGAAGAAACTTAATCGGCTTTTGACTCCTAAATTGGTATTTTGGTTATATTTATAGTGATCAGTGATCATTGGTAACTTAAAATGTCATAATTTTGAGATCTTATTTAGTTAGAACATTATCTATAACATTGTTGATTGGGGTTACCAAGATATTAAATACATAAATTTCGTCGATGTTTAAATTTAAAGCGTATTTTTAGAATAGTATATAAGCGCTTGTCGAATTTATTTTCTTACGAAAAGTTCGGAAATTTTTAAAAATTTTTTCTTCTTTTCATTATAATAAAAACAAATAAAAACAACACTGAAAATAAAAGTTTATTGATCGATTAAAATTTCAAATTTCAAAATAATTCTTTGAAAATAAAACTTTAAAACTTACGTAATCTAATAAGAGAAAAAAAAAAAAAAAATGAAATATACAACAGATGAAAAACTTACTTTACAACATAAAAATTGTGAAAAACATGAAAAAACACACGAGTTTAATCCCGTAAGTATCGTTTATATTCTTTCACATAAAAGTTGCCATTCGTGGCTAAGTAAATCGATAAATTTGGATATCCCGTCTATAAAGAATTTCATAGTAATGATAAAAGTTCAAATCCTAAGTGGCTGTGTCATGGTTGTAAAGTTCATTTAGATGGCTTATTCCCTTGTGACATTGCGTTATTTTAAGATCCCCCAATTTTCTTCTACCTTTTCAAAACTAACTCTTGCTCTGAACTTTTCTTCTTGACTTTTCAAATCGCAAAGATGTATACAATTTCATCATTCTCACCAGATACGATACCAAAACCTCATTCATCATCAGCATTAGGAAGAATAGGAACCATCAAGTTATTAATTTTAGCAATAGTATTTCCAATCATGATTCTTACAATTGTAAATCCCATGTGGGTTTGCGTTTTCATGAAAACACCTCATTTACATGGACCAATCTCCAACGTAAAGGTCCATGATCATACCAAGAATTCACATACCAATACGCAATTTCAAGGTGGGATTAAAATAACGAAAGAAACATTGGATATAATTGTCGCATCAAAAGATGGTCGTCATTTACAAGAATTAGAGACTTCTGTCACTATAATTGAAAACGTTACCCCAAACACCAAAAATCAACCTAATCAACATAATCATGAATCGATCATGGATCGGATTAGAGAAAGGGTATTTAAGAATCGTAACAATTGCGCTTATTTTGCTTTAACTGTCTTATTATTATGTGCTGTTATCATCGGTGGGGTTATCTTTTATTTTAGAGATGATCGTAAGGTGCGTTTTATTTGGATCTTTACTCGATTTCTATTCGAAATCTTTTTCATTACATTACGATAACTAATTTTTTAACCTTTAGATGTATTATGAAGAAAGTCATCTACCAAATGACGAGTATTATGTAAGGATCGATGATTTTGAAGATAATGATGATGATAACAAAACCACCATAGAAAAATCATCAACCTATGACGAAAAGAATGTCGAGGAAAATAACAATACCACGGACCAGGTAACAAATTTACCAGACATCTTTTTGAATTGTTTCTTTCATTTAACTTATTTTTGTTCGCGTTCTCTTGATTTATTTGTCAGGATAAGAATCTTACTCGAGTTTCATTTCATGATGCTCATTTTGACCCTACTACCACTCTTTCACCACCACTTTATTCTTCCAATACAGATAATGAATTAATCTCTGCCACGTCTTCATCAATTCCTCTAACAGAAAATATTCAAAAATCGGTTGACGAAAATAATTTGTAAAAAAAAAAAAAGTCTTAAAATTTAATTATTACCTTTTTTTATAAATTAAAATAAAATAAATAAAAAATCATTCATAATTTAATTATATTGAACACGGTCATTTTCGATTTGAAATTTATAATAGTATCGAAGTCGATTTTGTCCATTTGCCAACTTGTTCAAATCTTTTCCTATTTTAGGTCGTGGAACGGTAATCCATAAGGATTATCATGTGAAATGCAACCCTTTAAAATTATAGTTTAGTTGAATATAAAAGAACCTTATTAAAGAATCCTATTTTAGAATTCTTATGCTACAAATCCTTCTCTTCTTTGCATTCAACAATTCTTTTAAAAAAATATTAGAGAAATGGCTTCAGGAAATCCTTTACCTATCGAAACATATCTTAAAAATTGGGAAGAAATTTGTTCAAATTTTTATACAAATGATGATAAACTTGCTGGTACAATCGTTGGACTTGTAGAATTTGCTTCACATTCTAACGGGGAGGTAACCTTAAATTTTTCCAATGTTGACCAAACTATGATGGGAAAAACGGAAGATTTAGAACCACTTTTTAATAAAATTGGATTTAACAATGGTGTAATGTTATTACCAAAAGAATTCGATAAATATCTTGAAAACAAACGTAAAATTCGATCAGAATTTCATCGTAAGAAAGCCAAAGAACTTCGTAAAGAATTAAACGATTTATTAAATTCTAAACCGGCACAATATACAGCTTTACATCGTCGTTCGGAATTATCGACTTTTATTAATCAATATAAAAGTTCGGTTGGTGCAAAACCTTTCATTAAAGCTTTATTACGTATGCTTCAATTACAATTAAAACAATCAACTTTAATAAGTTGGACCTTTTTAGATGATATATTTACTCAAAATGGTCCTGATTTTATGAGAGCTAGCGTTAATTTATTAGTTAATGTATTGGGTTTTACTCATACAGTTCAGCAAGTTGATGAAAGTGGTCGAGGAGATAATTTGAGAACTTGGTATATGAACAGTTTATTAAGTGATACCAATATTAAATCTTTAATTGGAACCTTTCCAAAAGAAAATTCTCTTGGTAATGTAGGTGCAACCGGTTCAATAGAATTATCTTCACAACAAAGACCCATCGAAATGAGTTCTTCCACAGGCAATATTATTAGTAGGTTATGTTATCTACCTATAAAGATTCTTTTAGTTTGGTGGAGTCTTTCAAGAATGTGGTTAAATTTTTGTTTTGGAATCATCGGATTTAAAAAGAACATCCCGGAGGAGTCTTCTGTTTCTTCTGAGTTGCGTGTTTAATATCTTTAGGGAATTCATTATTATAACAGACGGTATGTTCCTTTTTAGTCAGATCTGCTCATATATCAAATATTTATTCGATAATTTATAAAATGCTGGAAATTTTACCTAATATAATAAATATCAGTCATAAAAAAAATTTTTTTTAATTATTGGGTTTTCACACATAAAATTTACAATGTTGAAGAATTTAACTTTAATAAGTTGGTTTCACTCATACTGTTGATTAAGGAGGATCCTTCTATCATTAGCAGGTGATTTTAATTATAAAAGATTCTTTTTGTGATTAGGTTAAATTTTTGTTTTGGTAATGATTAGATTAGAAAGAAAAAACCGATTTATATTCTGAATTATTAATTTAATCTGTGATTTGTAATTCGAATTCATGATCTACAAACAAATCTGCATAAAAAAAAAAATAAATAAATCTCGGGGAAGATCTGTTCGCGATAATTCAAATCGCTCGTCATATCTTTGTTCTTTTTTCATAAAATTTATCATTTAATTTATTCCTTTCGAGATTACAATTATTTTGTTATTCACAATGTTAAAGAAATTAAGACTCATCAAACCCGTACGATTTTTTTTTTTTTTATAATGATAAAATCCTCCTTTAAAAAAAACGATGATTCATCTTTATCTCTGTTTCTTTTTTGTTTTACATGATAGATTTCTAGCTTACAATATCGTTCATTTAGCATTGTTCCATCACGTTGGGTAAGATAAATGTGCGCACAACTATCTTTCTTTTCATATCACGTGAGCGTGTACTTATTACACTTATTATATAAACACAAAAATATTATTAAAATATTATTACTTTTTTTTCTGACATGGCTTCACAGCAAAAATTGAGAATTGAACGAGACACGTTTGGTGACATTGAAGTTCCTGCGGACCGTTACTGGGGTGCGCAAACTCAAAGGCATGATGATTTCTTTTTCTTTTTAACGAACATTTTGACCAAAATAAAAATACATTAGAAACTTTAATGGAATACACGTGTAATTTAATTTCATGTTAATTATATTATATAATAGGTCACTCAAAAATTTTGATATTGGAGGCCCAACTGAACGCATGCCCGAACCTTTGATAAAAGCATTCGGTATAATAAAGCAAGCTGCTGCTACTGTGAATATAACCTATGGTCTTGACCAAAAAATAGGTAACACTATCATCCAGGCCGCAGAGGAGGTATATCAATTTTAATTGATTATCTATTCCGGAAAAAATCTTTTGAAACTATTTATCTTTTCATGAAATTTTAGGTGAGCAAAGGAAAGCTTTTAGATCATTTTCCTTTGGTAGTATGGCAGACAGGTTCTGGAACTCAAACAAACATGAACGTAAATGAGGTAATTACAAAACGTGTTCAATATTTATAAATATTTTTTTTTTTTAGCGATTTAAAAAATCTTATCGAATAATCTTTGATTTTGTGATACGAAAATTTTAGGTCATTGCAAATAGAGCCATCGAAATATTGGGTGGTCAACTTGGAAGCAAAAATCCGGTTCATCCCAATGATCACGTGAATATGAGTCAGTCCTCAAACGACACGTTAGTATTCAATGCACGCATTACATTTGTATATTATATATGTATTCTTTTGTAAAAATATCACAATATAATTATTACAGACTTTAATTATAATGGTATAGTTTCCCCACAGCCATGCATGTGTCGGCAGCTATCGAAATTAACGAGCGACTTATTCCTGGATTGACCATGTTGCGTGACGTGATTGCGGAAAAATCCAAAGAATTTGAAAAAATAATTAAAATAGGAAGAACTCATTTGCAAGTATGTTTTAAGTTTGATTGACGCGTTTCATTTATAATGTTTATTTATGCTTAAATAATAATAATAATGATTATTATTATTATTGATAGGATGCTACACCGCTTACTTTAGGCAATGAATTCTCTGGATACGCACAACAATTGACATTTGGTATTGAACGTGTTAAATCAACTTTACCAAGATTATATTTCTTAGCACAAGGTGGTACGGCCGTTGGAACCGTAAGCAATCAATTAAATTTACTTGATCGCTTCCTTGTCAAACACCTCATGTGATATTAACATTCATTCTTAGGGATTGAATACCCGTAAAGGATTTGATGTAAATATTTCTAATGAAATTGCGAAGATAACAGGATTACCTTTCCAGACGGCACCTAATAAGGTCAGCATGTAATAATTTTGCGATGATCTTTTAATTTTTTTTTGTGTTTTGCAATTTAACTAATTTCTGATATTTTTTATAATAGTTCGAGGCGTTAGCAGCTCATGATTCTATAGTGGAAGTCAGTGGAGCTCTCAATACTGTAGCCGTCTCTTTAATGAAAATAGCAAATGACATTCGTCTTCTTGGTAAAACTTTTAAATATTGGTTTTATTACATTATGAAAATGATCTGAACCATAAAAATATTTTAGGTTCGGGACCTCGTTGTGGCTTCGGTGAACTTTCACTTCCCGAAAATGAACCTGGATCTTCAATTATGCCCGGTAAGGTTAACCCAACCCAAAATGAAGCCATGACAATGGTTGCTGCACAAGTAATGGGTAATCATACTACCATATCTATATCTGGTTCAAATGGACATTTCGAAGTAAGACTTAAACATTGTATTTTTAATTCTCGATCGTTTATGCTTTTTCTAAATTAATTATTAACGATAAATATTAAATGTTTTAGTTAAACGTATTTAAACCTGTTCTGATTAAAAATCTACTTCATTCGATCCGTATTTTGGGCGATGCAAGTGTTTCCTTTACAAAGAATTGTGTTGTCGGGATCAAGGCTAACGAAGACAAGGTCATTATTCTCTCACCTTTATCAATCATATGTTGCCAAAAGATTTTAAAATTTAAATGAAGTTTGAAATGTTTTTTTTAGATTAATACGATTATGTACCAAAGTCTTATGCTTGTTACTGCTTTGAATCCACATATTGGTAATTATTTTGAAAACACACTAATTTAAGATGAATTGAATTAATGTTATGGTTACATTATATTTTAGGATACGATAATGCAGCTGCTGTAGCGAAGAAAGCACATAAAGAAAATTTGACGGTAAATTCTAAATAATTATCGTATTATATTTAATTGATATTTAGTTTGCTGAATTTTCTTTTTTAACTTTAAACCAAATAGTTGAAAGAATCCGCGATCAAATTAGGACTTCTCACTTCCGAACAGTTTGATGAATATGTTAAACCAGAACAAATGCTTGGTAACGTGCTTATTTAATTAATATTTAGTTAATGTTTTTAAAGTATTATTATTTTTTTTTAAATCAATGTTAATTCTTTATGTAGGTCCAAAGTAAATTTATTAATTTGTAAATTTGAACTTTATATGATGTTCATCAAAAAATTATTCAAAAAATTGATATAAAATACCGTTTAATGTTAATTAGATTTATTTTATTAACAACTATAAATTATAAGATTGTCTTTATCAGCCTTAATAAAATTGAAATTTTCATATATAAATTTTATTTCAGTTTTTTGTTTTTCATACCAATAAAAATCTGGCTAGCAACATTTTTTTTAACCCTTTTCCAAAATATCTATAGCAAATAAGTATAGAAGTAACATTTGATGATCGGATCATCGGATCATTTTTGGCAACAATTGATTCAACATTGCGACTAGGTTACGGCGTTCGACCTAAAGAAAGCTTTTACATCATTCATCAATAAAATAAATAAAATTAGATTGTATTCTAAATAAATCATAATAGAATATAAAATATAATCAGAAAAATATCATATCTCATCTCGAGAAATCACATTATACTCATGCTCCAGATCACTAGAGGATTCGTAATACATAACGAAGTATACTAAGAGCGTATGTCGGTTTTTTTTCGCCTAAAGTATGAATCCATCATTTGAAATATCTGATTTTGACGGATGTATACTACTCTTTGACGCCTGCTTCGATTTTAAAATTGGCACCATTAAAATTGGATGTTTGGCGCAGTATCGTATCCGAGATAAGTATTATTGAGACTGATATAATAAATAAATAAAAAATATAATGATGCTAAAAAATAAAGGATTATAAAAAAAAATTAATTACAAAGTAATTAAAAGGGGCTGACCCAAATCGCTACGAAGTAGGCTGAAAAGTGTGGGGGTCGGCTCGTCCCCAAGAGAGTAGGAATGTTAAGCGGTCATAAAAGTTCCAATAAATTTGCCCAGTTCAAGAGAAAATTTTTACTTTACTGGCATTATATTTTACTTTCTAATTATTGTGTATTAATTGAAAATATAATTTAAACTTATGAGGGAATGCATAATCTTTAATTTTTGATCGAGTCCAAATTTAGCGGTCCCATGAAAATTATTGATCTCAAAGTTCATTTTTCTTTTAAAAAGTATTCATATAACATTTTTTTGACAAGAGTTACTTATTATCGATAAGCGAATATGAGTAATTTCTAAATTTGTTCAAAATCCCCTAATCTTTTGCTTATTTATCTCATCGTGAATTGGTACAAAGTGAACTCTTGCGGGAACCTGTATTAGTTAAAGTAGGATGATTGAATAGTAAAAGATCAAGTAATTGTTCTGCTTACATGTAATACAACTAACTGGGAGTGAAAAATTATTTCCTTTATTTATACACAAATATGAAAACTCTTGAGCTTTTTAAAACATCAATAAGAAAGATATGGGTAGATAATTCGGAAATCTGATGTTCTGTAGATGGAGCTCATAGTATCCTATATCAATAAATCAATGTTCATCGCGTAATGCTAAATGAAATTTGAATAAATTATATCATCGATAAAAAGCTTATAAGGTCTGATAAAAATTACCATTTTCTACATTCTTTTCTCAAATTACAAAAATGACTATAATGTCTATCTGGATTAATATAAAGGAGAGCCAGCAGATTTCTTTTTCAAGGAGGAAACATAAATACATTAAAGAAACAAATTAAGGCAGAAGAACTACCAAAACTTGGAAAAGAAGATAAATGAACTAGTTAATGATCTTTTTTGAATTGAAGTTTCTGGACTTGAAAGCGCCATGTATCATTTTGTGGCTCATAAATTATACAAAGCCTTCCGGTAAATGTGGAGTCATTTTGAAAGTTTTAAAAGATGCGAACTATGACGAACATGGAAAGAACATTTTTTAGGTGACTCAAAAAAAGCCTTTAATACTATATGTTATGATGAACTGAAAGACATTACTTTTGATTGGAAAATAAGACGCTATCCAGGGATAGGAAAAACATTTATCAGATACTTTATTTGCTTGCAAAAAAAAATCATCCATGCATTCAAAACCTACTAAATAATTCAGTAGTTTGGTATGTTATAGATGATCAGAAAGCAAAGAATACAGAGTCAAGACGATTCTTATCTGTTCACTCAGGAAAGACTAGGAAAGATCATATATAAATTTTCAATTAATACATTATCATTAGAAAGTAAAATATAATGTCAGTAAAATAAAAATCTTCTCAAAATCTTCTCTAGAACTGGCAAATTTATTGTGACTTTTAGGAACTGCTTAACATCCCTAATTATGAGGTTGAAAATGATGAAAGGGAAGACACTACATGTTCTGCAAATATGTAAATTGTAAAATTCGCATCAATTATGTGAAAGGCAGGGTAATTAATAAACCTAGAAAAGTAATAAAAACATGAAGGCCTTGAAGGCTGGCATATGGGTCTTGTATTTGAGCAGATTACTACAGAGTTTTGAGAAATGGAGGAAAATTCCACATTCGTCATTTAGGATCTATAACTAATCAGAACGAGATATTTGAAAATGGTGTTGATTTAATTGAAGACGGAAAGTATTATCAGCCAGAACCGATTCCATCATCGCTCCGGAGCCGCTATTATTTTCAAATTATATTCATTACATTTTTTAAAATATGACGACATACTTTATTAAAATTGGAAATTGCATGGAGCGTAAAAATGAAGTACATGTAGATGTTGAACAAGAAGATACAATTACACGTTTGTCATTTACATTCATCCGAACTAAAAAACGTTACGAAATCGATAATAAAATTTGGGAAACGCATTTAATAATAAACAAACATTGCTAATTATAGAAAAAGGGTACTTTCTCAGGACGAGATGCGATGCACCGGATAAGTTTCAAATGACTATCGCAAGATCCATCCTATTAAAAAAACCTTATAACAAATTAGGTGACAAATGGAATATGCAACCTATCCATTACTCCAAAGTTGAGCTACCGGATCGGATTAATGATCACCTACACCAAGTATGTTTTGAAAATTGACTTGTGAAAATAATAGAAATAATACTTATATAATGCAGTTTGTGAAATATGATGTGTTAATAAAGTAGATAATTAACTAAAATGAACTTTTTTATTGTAACAAATTAATAAATCTTTTATTGTTCGATCACATAAGTTCATGATTTTTTGACATTAATTGCGAGTAGTGGATAAAAAAAAAAAGGTTGGCCGAAAGGCGTTGCGCATATGTAGTTTTTCGTTTACTTTACTTTTATTGCGCTAACGTCAATGTGCACTATCCCAAACATTTTCCTGAATCATATGACAAAAAGCCATTCGCCTTGGGGAGCTCAGGTTCGCTCTACATGTCTGAAACTCCGGAACTGCCTTGGAACATTCCTTTGAATTCATCATTAGCGACCAGCTCTTTAATAATATCTAAACCGCCTACAAATTCTCCTTTTATATAAACCTATGAAGTTCAGAAAGGTTATTAATAAATCTACGATCATAAATAACCAATTCAAGGCAAACTAACCAACCTGGGGATAAGTTGGCCATTTAGAATATTCTTTTAAACCTAGAATGTCCAATTAAAAATATTCTTATTAAATATTTTCTTTACGTTATATAAATAAAATTTCATTTATATTATATGATACCTTGTCTAACTTCCTCATCGGTCAAAATATTAATTGAGCTAAATTGGACTTTATTTTCATTGAAAATGTCGAGAAGTTGCCTTGTAAATCCGCAACGTGGCTGAGAAGGTGTACCCTGCAATTGAAATTGAAGAGAAATAGCATTAAATCATAGTATCAAATTCGGTTTCAATCATGAAAAAATTAGATGAAAACTGCAACAAACTTTAATAAAAGCTACAACGGGATGAGAATTGACTAATGTTTTCAGTCGCGTATTCAAATCAATTTTCTGCGTTTCGTCTTTTGCGCCTGTTGCAAATGATGAAACCTTGGAATATTTAGCAACTCGATTCGTAAGTTCTGGTGCATTTGCTCCATCGACACGTTCTGCGATCTTTCCTTTCTAAATTTAAAAATTTAATACGCTCAGCATTATTATGTCAATCTCCGAGTAATGCTAGATCAAATTCTTGAATGTTAAACGAGAAAGGAAAGAAATCGTTTCTCATTCAGTCGTTATAGTTAATAATACCTTGAGAAATATGAAGGTAGGAACTGCCGCGATTTCAAAAGATTCTGAAAGTTCGGGAAATTTCTCAGCGTCGACCTATTATATATTTTTAAATTTGTAAACAACTTTTGGTTTTTTTAAAAAAAAATAAAAATAAAATAAATATAAAACCTTGACGAAGTTTAGAGAAGCATTTTTACTGGCAAGTTCCGTGAATACTTCATTCATTTGAGAACATGGCTGAACCCATGTTGCCCAAAAATTGAGTATTATTATGGAACCTTTGCTTTGATCGATAAGATTCTTTAACTCGTCTTCTGAAGTGAGTTCCAAAAGATTACTTCCCATAATTTAAAGTGCAGTTTGGTAAGAAGCGCAGTGAATTTTTAATACTGAACTATTAAAGGGTAGTACCGGTTTTGGCCCTGTGTAATTTCCGGGGTTCAATCTACCAATCTTTTAAGGTATACGTATGAGTGTTTAAATTAGGTAATTCTTTTTTGTTTAGAGAATTTAGCAATGTCTGACGGAAATCTTGGGAAGCCTGAGCAAGATTTTACTCCAATTTGTGATGTCCAACTGCCCGAGACCGAGGCATTGGCCGAGGTACTTATTTCATATAAATGCTTTTTTTAATTGTATATACTGTTATTAAAGTTTAAATTACCAATAATAGCAAGGAAAGTTGGCCAAAGCCTTGGATCAATTATTAGCACTAGAAAAGCAAACGCGACAGGTATTTTAATGGATATATTGTGTTTCGGCTGTAAATTTATTTTGGCTAAAAGTTTACATTTCAAATAGGCAGCGGATTTAGCTTCTTCTACTCGTGTTTTAATTCACATTATTAAATTGTGTTACCAATCAGGGGATTGGAAATTACTTAATGAATATGTGATATTGCTTTCGAAGAAACATGGTCAATTAAAACAAGTACGAATTTTACCATTATCATTATTTACTTCATGCATTATGATATTTAAAATTCATTAATCAACCTCGCTTGTTAATAGGCTACCACAAAAATGGTTCAAGAAACCATGACTTACATTGATAAAACTCCGGATCTTAAAACAAGACTTGAATTGATCGATACTTTACGTACGGTCACCGAAGGAAAAGTATGTATTTATCTAATAATTTTATTCAATGTTGGATTAATAATAAATAAATATAATAATGCATAATTTATCTTTAGATCTATGTTGAAGTTGAAAGAGCACGATTAACGCGCATGTTATCTAAGATCAAAGAAGATGAAGGAAACGTCATCGAAGCTGCTGATATTCTGCAGGAATTACAGGTTCTTTTTTTTTATTTAATAAAAAATTGCTTCTTACATTTTCGATGTTCGATAATTAACTTTGGAATACGATTTTAGGTGGAAACGTTTGGTTCAATGGAAAAGAGAGAAAAAACAGACTTTCTTCTCGAACAAATGCGTTTAACTCTTGCCAAGAAAGATTATACGCGAATGCAGATCATTAGCAAGAAAATTAATACAAAATTTTTTGATGATACAGAGCAACAGGTGAATTCATGTGATATTGTTAAGTTTATTATCGAATTATATAATTCAATATTTATCTTTAATTTTAATAAAATAGGATTTGAAACTTCGTTATTATGAATTGATGATTCAACACGCTTTGCATGAAGGACAATATTTAAACGTTTGCAAGTATTATCGTCACGTTTATGATACTCCATTGGTTAAGGAGGATGAATCAAAGTGGAAAGAAGTAAGTTGTTTAAATATAACTTATTTATGATTTAATAAAAAATGTTATTTATAATTTTATTATTATAGATTCTCCAGAATGTTATTTATTTCATCATACTTTCACCTTTTGATAATGAGCAACACGATTTATTACATCGTATATACGAAGATCATAACCTCACCAAGCTCCCGTTACATCAGTAATAATATATATTTGTTACATATTTTTTTTTATTGAAAAAAAAGACTTTTATTCAATATTAATGTTTATTAATTAGGCGACTTATAAAGAATTTTATAACTGCTGAACTCATGCGATGGCCAATCATTCAACATTTATTCGGGGAGATGTTGAGAAAAACACACGTCTTTTTATCGGGTGACGAGGATGGAGAAAAGCGTTGGGAAGAACTACACAATCGTGTGATTGAACATGTAAATTAATGTTTTGTTAAGTGATAAAATTTTATTGATATATATCTATATTATTATTATTATTATTATTTGTTGTAGAATATTCGAATTTTGGCTAAATACTACGTTAGAATTCGAATGAGCAGATTGGTATCATTATTAGATCTAACCGAACAGGTAAATGTATTATTAGTTCAAAATGTCCTCATTTATTGTACAAAATATTTAATCAAAAAAATTTTTCCTTACTTATAATAGCAAGCAGAAGATTTTCTTGCAAAACTTGTGGAATCTAAAACCATTTATGCAAAGATAGACAGACCAGCTGGAATTATATCTTTTGCAGCTCCTAAAGATGCAAATCAAGTTTTAAATGACTGGTCAAGTAACATCAATTCCTTATTAGGGCTTATAGAAAAGACGTGTCATTTGATTACAAAAGAGGAAATGCTGCATAGTATCGCCCGAGTAAAGTGATATTAGGTAGGCTATCCAATCGCTTTCTTTTTTGGTGGAGTTATATATAGACGATTAATTATGATTCTTTTTTGTTATAATTAAACAGGATAAACATGAAACAAATGAATATGTGAAATGAAATTCATTGATGATGTTTTACATTAAAAGGTAAAGATATAAATGAATACTTGTACTGTTGATTACATTAATTCTTGCGAAGAAAATCAACATTAAAAATGAATTAAATTAAATGACGTTGACTATTAGACAAATTATGAATTAAATAAATTAAAAGTAATGATGATACAGAGATATAATTCGATAATCGGGAGCTAACTGCTCCGGAAGGTATTGTACGTGAAAAGTGTTAAACATACAATAAATATAAATACAATATAATTTTTTTATGGTTTTAAACAATCCATTGTCGATTATTTCAAATCGTCCTAAAAATCTAATAAATACTTCATAACATTTTAACAGAAACAAAATGGTAAAACTATTTAATAAAAATTATGAAATAAAAAGAATAACGAACTCGTTACTTTTCGTTTGATGAACTATATAGAAACTACCCGATGATGATTTAATATCAGAAAACAAATTCAAGAATACCGTGAAATTATTATTTAGCGACGGTCCTGATAACGATGCTTGTTAGTTATATATATACTGTTCATTTGAGATAAAAGATTTAAATTGCAGAGAAAAAATTTGCCGAAGAAAAGTAAGAATTATTCAAATTATTGTCTTAATAGTTCAGTGTAATTCCTCTATCGAATTGAAAAAGAGCATTTGAGGAAAGAGACATGTGGAATATTTTATTAAAAATATGTTTCTAAGCGCAATAGATGTTTCTTTGATCATACAGAACATTGATCCCTTTTCTCAACATTAACTCCATATGATATTTGGTTGAAACTTTTTGATCAATGGAGAAGAGAGAAATAAATACAGATTTCTCATCGAACAAATGCGTTTAAATCATTACAATAACGAGTAAAATTTTTTTGATGATATAGAGCAGCAGATGAATTTTGTGCGATCTTGTCAAGTTTATTATTGAATAATATAATTCAATGTTTAATCTCCAAGTTTTTAATAAAGTAGGATTTGAAACTTCGTTATTATGAATTGATGATTCATCACATTGCAAGGAAAATTTTAAATGATAGAGCAGCTGGAATTATATCCTTTTGCGATCCTAAGGGCGCAATTCAAGTTTTATATAACTGGTCAAGTAATACAAAAGACGTGTCATTTGATTGCGAAAGAGATGATGCTCTGCAAACAGACGTTTCATATAGATCATAATTAAGCAGGATAGAAATAAGTCAATGAATAAATTAAATTCATTGATATTTTGTATATAAAGGATAGAAGTATAAATGAATACTTTTATTGTTGATTATAAAATGTTAATTAATATTATTAGGAAATATAATAATTAGTTTTCCTTTACAAAAATAAAATACGAAACATTAGAAAAATTCAAAATTTTTGAAAAGTTGATTCATTAATGGTACACCGAGGTATAATCAGATAAACGAGAGGCAAAATATGCCATCTGTTCTGGAAGGTAAAAGACCGTAGTGTACGTGAAAAACAATAAACATACGATAAAAAGCGTATCTACAAAATTTATGTAGAAAGTTAAATATTATTGCTTTAGAGAAACTCGCGAATAATAAACATACTAAAAAGAGCTTTTTCCCAGGGTTCAAGCATGTATAAGCCGGTCGTTATTTCATATTGATAGTTTTTAAGCGCTAAACGTTTGCGAATTGTGCGAATTGTCTTTAGCATATTTCTTTTTTTTTTGATTGTTTTTTTAAAAAAAGTCTATTTGGTGTAACCAAAGATATATCAAAATTTTTTTTATGGATAGACTATATTTGGTTACTTGATAATGAGTATGGTAAGTATGGAGCCCACGGATTCATATGGTTACCTATTTTGGAAAAAAAAATTATTCGTGTAACCCGATCATTAAATATACTATTACTCCTTATTTTAGTTAGACGCGTAAAAACGCGTGGATAATCATTTCTTTAATATCGATCAAATTTCACTTTCTTACTTTGTATAAGGCCTCTACTGTATGAGACGTAAGATTGTATCCATTACAGACCTAATTTAGTTAATGAATTTCAAGAAATTACGAAAACATCAACTCGCTCAAAATTAGTCAAATTACCCCAATAGTACTTGTATAAGAAAAAGTTTTATTACGGATTAAAAACTCCTTATTTGCGAATAATAACATTTCGTTTATATATTCTAGAAATTTAGACCATTACCATGGCAGGAGCCCAAGTCAGCTCATATTTTATCAATACAAGACTTGAAGAATGCAATTTTCCGAGTTTTACGAGTATCGCCAGACAGAAAAGGACTTCACCAGCTCGTTCCTTTATACTTAGATTTCTCGATTATTTTATGAAAGATAGCTCACCAAAAAAAAGCAAAGAATCATGCTACTCTTTTGGATAAAAATTTCAAGGTAAGTAATGTTTGTTGCTGTGGGCTTTAAACAACGGTTTAGAGTATTCCCTACGACTAGAAGAGAAGTCTTCGTGTCATCTCTTTGATGATCTTCGTGTTCGTCATAGAACTTTATAGAGGTAATAAAATCACATAGCTATGGATATTCTCCTGATGATCTTCGCTGTGGTCCACATATAATATATTAAATAACTTCTTGTTTGTGGCCAAGACTAATAATCTTCTATTATATATTGAAAAGGGTTATCGTACAAATGATTTATATTCAAAGCTATTCTGGGATAGAATCGAGTCACAATTAACCTTCGATGCTGAAATTGAAACGAAGAGGAAGGAGATGCTATTGGCAAAGGTTTGCAATATTTTCTGTTATTTAACTTACACACACAACAGCTGACAGCTAATAGTACCCTATTTCTCTTACAGGCTGGAACAGCGACTGGCATCATGAAGAGAATCGACGGGCTCTGGTATGATAAAATTGTGGATGATATTGATTAAAAACGATGTACTCATTGTTGTATTCTTTATTCTAAGAATGACATTCTGACTGATAGATGTGTCGTCCCTACCAAAAGGAAAACAATGGAATACTATTTTCCAGTTATTCTTCCTCCTACTTACGCACAAGATCGACTACCACATACTCCTCCGCACCAAATTTTTTCGTCAGGTGCTTCCGTCCCCTCTTGGATCAAATTTCCCTGGATAGTACGTTCATATGGGAACGTTGCCAGTAAAATCAAGTCATGAGACAGTAAATCCTATGATCCGTAATGTGATTTTTACTGGCTACGCTCCTATATGCTAGACCTTCGAGCATTATAATCTCTTATGGGTACAAGATATTTATAAACGGTTATGAATATAAATATTCGCGATTAATGTTATTTTATTTGTGACATTAAATTTAAATTTCGTACCATGTATTCTTTAGTCTGTTTCTTTTTGATGCACCAACAAACTTACTACTGGATCTAGAACTTCTTATCGGGAAAACTCTGTGAATCCCATTGTTATTAAAGTTTGACATCATGGATATAATCAAAGTAAAAACGTATGTAGGTTTGAATTTATCATTAAAAAAATTTTCCATTTATTATTTACGTCTGGTCACTAACAAGTTATCTCAAAGGATTGAAACTCGTCAATATAAGCAATGTGTTTGTATTGGGTGTTCCTAGGATGGGATATACTCGATCAATGTACATGCTACTATTTTGGAAGTAGGGTTGTTGGCAACGCCCTTTATACTTATGTCGAAAAAATTAATTGAAGACCCCTAGATCTGGCCGCATATATTTTCCCAGTATATACTCCCACCTTTTGGTTATATCATGAAAAACCTCAATTATGGCTGATTTCTATATCAAATCTATTTCTACATTTTAAATTTATCACATTTTTGTGAGTACTTGATGATTTTGGCTTTTATTTTACACTCATTGTTGCTGTATCCAGGATGATATTTTATTTTTTATTGAACTTGTTTCTTTGTTTACTTGTCTTTAGATAAACTACAATTAAGCATGAAGACATAAATAGTAGAAAGGATTTTCTAGGTATGTCCATGAGTTAAGTGCCGATGGATCTTCCGTTAAAAACAAATACATGGCTAAGAGTGAAGTTCTATAATTAATAAACTGATTTACTTTAGAATCAGGTAGTTTACTATAAACTATTTTAGAGCCGTCAGGAGAAACTGATTGATATTTATCTACAAGATTCCATGGATTATCTGGATCATCATTCATTACAGGATGATTCATATCATATATCCCATTTGGAGCCAAAATAATATAAGTATCCTCTATAGAGTCATATGGAATTGTAGTCTACCGTAAGTAACATAGATCCAGGGCCATAAAGTTATTACAGGAAATTTCATAATTCGTTGACCACTCCTAAAAATTTATTTTTAATGTTTGAATTCAGACATTTCATACATTGATACAACTGATTATAATATAAACTATAAAAAAATTTTAATACCATTTATTGTGAAACCATTTATATTTAAATTTCATTTTTTTATTTTACATGATTTCAACATTTTTCATAAAAATTATTAGCCAGAAATTCTCATCGAAAGATAGCTAAGTATTTATGACATAAGTAAAGAATTTATATATAATAAAATTAATTTTAAAGATTCAGATGAAATGAAATTATACAAAAATTTTAATGTATGAATATCTGAATTCAGATATTGAAAATTAAATTTTTAGAGGGTGGTTAGCGAATTATAAAATTTGCTGTAAGCCTTATATTCTCTTTATCAATCTTAGAGCGAAACTTTACATTTTATGTAATGCATCGAACAAATGGAGGTTTAGTTGTTGTTGATGTTCTAACAGAATTTAATATTCCAAGTACTAAGGATTGACGCATGACGTATGTAATTACGTGACATTCTCGTCCAATCATCGGTCCTAATATACCACTTAATAAAAGAGTCATTGGGCAGGGCCTATCGGCTGATATTTAACCAATAGCTATCTAGCAGTGCAGAAGATCGTTTCCTTAACTAAAATTTAGCAATTAATAAATTCACTTTTTAAAAAAATTAAAATTTTCAATTTTGCGCATAAACACATGATGTACCTTGTTAAAGAATTAACTCCTAAACAAAGGGAGGCATTATATCAGGCAAAGAATTGGGTCACAAAAATGCAGAGATTGCAAAAGTTGTAGGATGTCATCAAACAACAGTTTTAAGATATCTTGCAGCTTATGATCAGAAGAATCTTTCAAAAAATGATCAAGTTGATTATGCTTAATCAATAGTCAAGAAAGGCAAAAAACGTGTTTTCTTATATTCCTTGAAAAAAACTTTAATTTTAGCAACAAAAGGCTTGCATAAGCAATAAAAAGAAAAAATTAGATATTGAAAATTGGAAAAAAATAGTCTTGATAGATGAGTCCACTTTTTCCAATTTTAAAAAAAATCTGAATAGAAACAAATGTGACAAGAACAAGAATTTTATGAAAATTGTATTGCATTGATAGTAAAACATTCTTCTTAAAGGATATTTTGAATATGTTTTTCTTTTAAAATATTATAACTCATTATACTACTTAAAGGTGTAGAAGTTTATATATGCAGTTCTAACATTCAAGAAATTTTTCCAACAAAAACAAAAAAAATATTTTTCAAGATAGATAATATGTCAGTTCAAATTTTAAGAGTTTTTGCTTTCTCTATACTTTTAAAATCCTGATCTTTATCCAATTAATTATGTGATTTATAATAGAAATAGAAATTTGAAAATGCAATTCTCAGTCTTCAAATATTTTTAAGCTTAAAAATAATAAATAAAGTGTAAAATGCAATTTAGTAAAAAAGTACCAAAACATAGAATAATCAATATCAAATAAAATTCAGATAGTGATCATTGTTAAAGAAAATCATATTAAATATTAAATACTTTAGTTTAAAAAAAATAAAAAAAACTGCTATTTCCTATAAAAAATAAAAAATAAATTAAAAAAATAAAAGTATGTAATACTTTTATCTACCTAGTAAGTGAATCTCCTATTTATGTTTTATCCTAAAAACTTATGATACTTTAAAATTATATATATTATTTTTTATCTGCTATATAATAAACAAGATTATGAAAATATTACATAGAATATCATATGGGTAGTATTCTATTAAAATTGAGGTACGGATCATATGATTTACTATGTCTCGTAACCCACTTTTAATAGATCAGCTCCCATATAGATTATCCAGAAATTCCATTTAATATACAATTACTTCCAAAAGTAATGCAATACCTAATATTTTAATTTTAAAAGCTTATAACTCATTATCTACCTATGCTAAAAATATGATTTATATTTATTTTAATCCTCAAATCTTAGAGAATAACTTGAAGTGTGATTATTAATACCAGTTTTACGTAATTATATGACCAACATAAACATTTTTACTTAATAAATTTAAGTATTAGACAATTTTTTTCAGTAAGCAATCAACTAAAAAATTAATGCTGTATTCTGATTTTCTTTAATGTAACGATTCTAATAAGCTAAAATTCATCAAAATCATATCAGTTGTTTAAACGCTATTATCCAACTAATGATTAAGCAGACTGAAACATCTAATCAATTGAGTAGCAGCAAAATTTAGCTCAATCTTTATGAAGTTTTAGAAGAGACTTTAGTTGATTCAGGCTATTGTTGACTTCAGTATTCTTTTACAATTAAGTTTCAGAATTGACAAATATGATGACTTTCAATTCATCATATAAGACAAGTAATTTCCTTTAATATAGGAGATTTTCAGTTGAAATTACTAAGTTTATTTATAACTGAGTTAATTGCACAAAATGAGTTGATAACATTTAAGTAATTTAAAGATTACTTAAACCTAAATGACATAAAGTACAGTTAATAACGTTAAGTAATTTATAATTATTTAACCAAGGTTGACACAAAGCAAGTTGATAATATTAAGTAATCCAATATTACTTAACCAATGTTGATATAAAGCAGGTTTGACACAAACAATTTTATTTGTTACGAGATAATTTAGTAAAGAGTTTTTATTATCTTATAAAATTAACTTTTTAAATTTCTATCGATACATGATGAAAAACTCAATCCATTTATAATGAAATTTCTACACTAAATTGCTATCTATTACATAAAACTATGTAATTCATTTTTCTATATAATTCTGTTGTAATAATTGAGTAATGACTACCTAATCGCTATACAATAGTCTTTTAACTATGATATATATATATTTGAAGAGATATAGAGAATATAATTGTATTATTGTTAAATTATTACTACATCTTTATACTTAGCTTTGACTAATTTCTCCTTGAAGTTCCTATTTGGAGTTTCTAGTTTAAAAGGTTATGCATGTTGTTATAGGCTAATGATTTATTACTTATTTCTTTATTAACTGATCTGGTTAATTTCACAGATCACTTTTGCAGATCATTGTGTCATTGATTTTGTAAATCAATCCACATAATGATTATTTTGTAGATCACTTTACTGTATCATATTTGTCATTCTTAAAGATCATTTGGATTACAACATAATAATATAATTTTATTAAATTTAAATTTAAGGAATCAAATAATACAAAATAGAAAAACTAAAATATTATCTATATGATTCAATATAAACAAAATTATTGTCTAAAGACATTTTATAAACTTATAAAAGATTAGGTTTCTCCAAATCAGCTGGTTGTCTTGTCAAGTTCAAAGACAAATGTATAAACATAAATCTTATCATGACTATCTATTAAAAAGAAAAAATTTTGAAAAATAAAGAAAAAAATTAAAAACAACTAGCTATTACTGATCCAAGAAGAGTTTATAGATAGTCTGATTAAATTAATCTAATTAGTAAAAATAGGTTGGTTAGAAAAGAAGAAGAATTAATGTATCGATTAAATGTAAATAGAGCTCCGAACAGGTCAGGTTAGGTCGGGTAATTGACTTGATACAATCTAATAAGGTCAGGTTGGGTCAGACATAAAATTGACCTGAATTAAATATACATTTGACCTGACCTGACTTGTCTAAAAAGGAAACTAAACAATTATTAATTTTGTTTAATATATTTTTAAAAAAATATAAAAAAATATTGATACATTTTTA